AGTTGGATGTCTTTTTCAATTGCTCTTCACCTTCTTTTGTTTTGAGGCAAGGTCTCTCACTGAGCCTGGAGCTCACCAGTTCAGCTAGACTGGCTGGCCAGCAAGCCCCTGTCTCTGCCTCCTTGGTGCTAGGATTGTAGGTTTATACCACCATGTCCAGCTTTTTATCGTGGGGATCAAACTCAGGTCCTGCTGGCATGGCAGTTACTTTAATGATTGGGCCAGGCTGTGGCACTTGCTTCGGATCTCACTAGGAATCCAGACAGAAGATTTGAAACAAGGGTATCCTAGACAGCTCAGGGTCCACCGAACAGTTCTGAGCCAGCCATCTTCAGAGAGAGATCAGAGCCCAGATGTCAGTAATGTCTGAGATACAAGACAGCATTTCCTACAGCAATCAGAAAACAGGTCTTTATCTTATCAAAAGTAAAAATGGCCAAGAGACCTGGGTTCTTACTCTCACTGCCCCACTAGCCAGTTATGGGACCTATGGCAAGCCCTGTCACCTCCCTAAGCCTCAGCCTCCCCTTTGAATTATGAGTGGATGGGATTATGTCAATCTCCAAGGATGCTTTCGGTTCAGAAAATTCAACGATTCTGTTAGAATTAACAATCTTGATTTGTAGTTACAACTCTGGCAAAGAGCAGAAGAAATAATCAACAGTGTAATAAATGACAGGGACTATTGACCATGTAGTTTAATTTATTTAAGGCACATACCCCAAATTCAAAGGAGAAAATATCACTCCTGATGATATATTGAACTGTTGGTATCACTGGTCTAGAAAAGGCTTTCCAGAGGCAGAAATTACCCATCAGTGCAAACCTGACATTTTTCACTGGCTGATCCATGGCCACCATTTGTCCATTGCACTCATATTTACTGTAAAAGCCATGCAAGTGGATGCCTTGGATGAATATTAAATAATGACATAAAGATCAAGGTCACCGTTGCAGGAAAGGCTCTGTAGAGGGCCGGGGAGCCTGCATTGATCTCTTGTGAAGTTCCATTCTGGAATCCTGCTGACATGGAAGAAACAATTGATGTGAAACCATTATTAAGGTTTTAAGTGTTTCTCCATTGTTAAGGATCTTTTACAAGCCCAAGGAATTGGCAAAAGCTTCAGTTAGAAATATAGGCCAGTCAAAAAGATAAGTACATTCTAGAGTGCAGATGGCCTGGGTCAGGCTTACACAGCAACAGCAAAGGCTGACGGGAGGCCAGTACTGGACTGTCACTGACTCTGCCTGCCTGCCTGCCTGCCTGCCTGGTACTGCTTCTGGTGACAGCTCCGAATAGAACTTCCATGCCGGGAGCTGCAGAGAGCAAGGTGTCCTCTACGCCTCTGTCCATCTTCACAGGTCCCCACTGAAAATCTCCTCTCTCAACGTTTCAGTTATCTGCTTCCGTAGCTTCCCAAAGCACCCTAACAGGGACATCTGATGTCTCGGGCTGTCTGAGTGCCTGAGCCTGGCCAGTTTGTAAAGAACAGAATGTGTGTCTTTCAGCTCCACAGTCCAATGTCAAGATACTGGTAGCTGCTGGGGGACCTTTTACTGAGTCACAAGGTGGTAGAGAGCATCAGAGGACAAAACAAGGCAAATGTGCTAGCCAGCAGTGGGGAGGGTTGGTCTCTCTCCTTTCTTATGAAGCCACCAGCACTGTCACGAGCCTCCATTCTCATGGCTTCTCCAACTTTATACCTGCTAAGTTTCCACCTTGGGATCCCATCAATATATGCACATAAGGGTTAGGTTCCCAGCATGTGAGCTCCAGGGGAACACCCTGAAGCAAGCCATAGCCTGGAGGAATCAGGAACCTAAAAATTATATATAAACAGGTTCAGATCTGACCTGGCTAAGTGCCTGGATTATCACAGGAGTGTCCTGCTGACCCAGATCAGGGAGGAAGGTAAATGCAGCCGAAGATAGAACCTAATTCTCAAAAGGTTCAAACAGACAGGAAAATTGGCAGAGTCTGTGAGACACACATAATAAACCAGAAAACCTGTTTCTCGTGTGCTAGCTCAGAGTGACTGCGCTTGGTCCTTTGTACATTTCAGTTGGTCCCATCTTTATATTGCCCCATTGAGGGCTGAAAGGAATATGGAAGAAGGCACAGCACTTTAGAGTCATCAATCCCAGACTCAGTCTCAACTCTGCACCTCTCCCAGTTAAACTGGCAAGTTACTCTATCTTTAAAAGATGATCGTGGCCAGGCTTCCATCTGCCACATGTCAGCTCTTGTGTTCTTAGTTTGCTGCATTTATCTTCTCATTGAATCCTTAGCTCAATCTCAGTCCTGGAGCTGAGGATGCTCTTCCTAGCATGTACAGAGTTAGCTCAGATGGTCGCATGCTTCCTCACAGGCACAGGGGAAGCTCAGGCAGTCGCATGTTTACCCAGCATGCACAGAGTCCAATACCACATTAACCCGGTGTGATGTTAATCCCAGCACTTGGGAGGTGAAGATAGTAGGGTCAGGAGCTCACATCCCTAGCTACAGAGCATTTCAAGACCAAGCTAAACAAGATATCCTGTCTCAAAACAATGAAGATCCAAAAGAATAAAAGGACAATCTTAGTTCTGTTTAGCTGGTATGGAAGGTAGGAATGATTAGCACTGTAAATGACAGCACCAGGGCTTGAACCCAGGCAGGCTCTTTCCTCTCATACATGACACTGCATCTCTCTATAACAACCATGATTTCTGGGAGGGTGTGATGAAGTAACTAGTAGAAAGTACCTAATACAGTGCCTGGCAATCACAAGTACTCATAAATTGTATTAAGCTATTGTCATTGTTATTAGTTACATGACTTGTACAAGAATACAACTAAGGGTTGGCAAAGTGACTTGAACTCAGGTCTTGTGACTGCCTTTCTAATCCATGTTCCACCTCCCTCTAGGGTACAAGGCTGAGGACAGTCCTATATCTCTGTACCCCTGGACAGTGTCATTTCCCTGGAAGACACCTAGTGAGCACTCAGGAAGGGAGTCTCTGACATAGCACTAAAGATTCTTTCCCTCCCTCCCTTCCCTCCCTCCCTCCTTCCCTTCCTCCCAGGTCCGGATGGTAAAAGATGGTGACCAGTCCTGGAAGCCCACTTTTATTGTGAAACCAGATAGCGGTTGTCAGGGTGATGGAATCTACCTCATTAAAGATCCCAGTGACCTCCGCCTAACTGGGACCCTCCAGAGCAGGCCAGCAGTGGTACAGGAGTACATCTGTAAGCCTCTCCTTATTGACAAGCTCAAGTTCGACATCCGTCTGTATGTCCTGCTGAAGTCCTTGGAGCCCTTAGAGATTTATATAGCCAAAGATGGACTGTCTAGATTTTGTACAGAGCCATATCAAGAGCCAACCCCCCAGAATCTGCACCGTGTCTTCATGCACTTGACCAACTACTCGCTGAACATCCACAGTGGCAAGTTCATCCACTCCGACAGTGCCAGCACAGGCAGCAAGAGGACGTTCTCCAGCATTCTTTTTAAGCTGTCTTCCAAAGGTGTGGACATCAAGAAGGTCTGGTCTGACATCATCTCCTTGGTGATCAAGACTCTCATTGCCCTGACCCCAGAGCTCAAAGTTTTCTACCAGTCAGACATCCCTACAGGGAGGCCAGGGCCCACCTGCTTCCAGGTAACGGTGCCAGTTCCTTGAACTGCTATGGGATGAAAGATGGGGTAGGATGGCTAGACCCAGGGGTATAGGTGTGACTTGGGGCAAGCCACTTCCCCTCATTGAACTATAGATCCATAAGATTCTTGTGAGAGCACACATGCCATTCATACATTCTTCATTCACTGAACAGTTGGGGGTCTGGCATTGTGGAATCCATAGTGGAAAAAAGTCACTAAGAAGCAATTGATACAGAGTGTTACAAGTGGTAGAATCAAATAGGAAATGGACTAGGTGCTGTGGGATTGTGGACTCACCTACCATTCCTGCCTTAGTCCAGGAAGGCTTCCTGAAGGATTAGCTAAAAGATGAAGCAGGAAAGAATAGATAGGCACAGCCACAGAATGTTCTGGGTGGAGACATGTTGCTTTGGAGGTAAGAGGGAAACCTGGTTTGTCTGAGATACCAAAAGAAGTTCACTGTGGTTAGGGGCAGGGTTGAGGCACAGATGAGGGATTTGAGAGAAAAGGGGGTGGGAAAGTAGGTTAGGGCCAAGTGATGGAGAGGCTGAGGGGAGTGGCAACCATCACAGGGTTAGAAACAGATTACAGTCATATCTTCATGTTGTCAATTTCATAGTTCCGTGGCCTGTGGACTAGGCAGTGAGCCAAGGCTGGCTTTGAGGAGACTGCAGTGAGATAAACACTTCTGTGTGAGCAGAAGATGCTGGCTCTGAGTGGGTGGGGAGGTCTTGGTGGGTAAAGCTGAGTGCCATTTATGAGGTTGGGTGGCTGGACTTGGTACCAGTGTGGTCTGGGGAAAGAGAAGAGAGAAGAGGAAGATCTGAAATGGAGACGTGTATGGGCTCTTGGAAGGGCGGAGTGGGGCTACCAGCAGAGGACTAGCCAGCAGGGAAGGCCAGGAACCGGAGGTAAGATGCCTGTGTGGCAGCTGAAAGGAGAGTTTAGTACACAATTAGATGTTTGGGCAGGTGTCCAGCACAGACACAGGTGGGCTGCAGAAAGAACTGAGAAGGCATCCACGGCAGCGACTGAGGGTGTGAGGTGATACGAGAGGACCCCTGTGACACCTCCACTTACCTAATGATGAACAGAGGCAGGGGACCCACAAAGGAGACTGAGAAGTTTGGTCAAGGGTGAGCATGTTGGAAATGTCAAGGAAAAGGGACTCAGAGAACACTTGGACATGGGCCTGCAGCCTCAAACCTTGCCAGGTTGCCAGGCAAGACCATCCCTGGAACTGTTCATTACGTTCACTGACACTTGTCCTGGGGACTCTAGCAAGAGCTTTCTTGGGAAAGCAGCCAGTCTGTGAGGGGGAAGGAAATGTGAGAATGGTGTGAAGCAGCTTTTAAAAACATAGATGTCAGGGTGAGACAGGGCTATGGAGACCAGGCACTCAGTGCCACCAGATCTGTCAGAAAAGACAAGAACCTCTTGAATCCTAGCCACCTTAATCTTTGAACTTGTTGCGTAGTAGTGTGTGTGTGTGTGTGAGAGAGAGAGAGAGAGAGAGAGAGAGGTGTGTGTGTGTGTGAAGGTACTTGTAATGATCACACCTGACCTACTGGCTGTCTCCTTAGTGTACTCTTCCCTATTCCATTCCCCAGCCTGTCCTCTACATAGCCACTTTCTGAATGTTATGTTGTCCATTTTCAAAATTACACATGGTCATGCACAAATGTTCCTATAGACAGAATACTGTCTTATCTGACTGACTTTCCGAGCTTCAAAAAAGCCCCGGTGTGAAGTCCTGTCCCTTGAAGCACCTGCTCCCTCGAAGGCAGCATTCCAAAGGCCAATGCTACTGCCGGGGCTGCTGGTGGCTTCACTTGCCCTGGTGTGTACCACCACACATACACACAGTTGGTTTATCACTTTTTCTATCAAGGAAGACCAGTGTTCCTGGCTGTGCTAGGAGGGTGGCAGGTGGTGAGGAACAAGAGTGAGAAGAGGGATTGGAGCACAGGTGGGGACACCCACTTACCAGCACATGAGTAGGCTGAGTAGCCCCAAATCCAGAGAGTCTGCTGGGGGCTTGATCCCTATCGAGGCAGCAGGACAAGCAGGAAGTAGCAATTGTCCTCTAGAGTCCCATCCATGGTCCTATGGCACCCATGCCTTCAGTTCCTAAGCAGGTGTGTCCAATAGCCATGAAGAGATGGTTAGAAAGGGCAGGTGAGGAAGACTTTGGGCATGTTAGAGCAAAAGTCCTGATGCAGGCCACCACAAAGAGAGGACAGACAAGACATCTGTGATGTGGTCACACACAGGGTTCATCCATGAGGACTGTGTGGTCATGCCTATTGGGTAGTGACAGCTATTCTAGGAGCATCACATGGGGCCAGGCAAGCATGGACAAACCGCAGAAGCCTAGCATGGTCAAAGTTGCAACAGGGAGAGCCAGGATGGTCATTTGGGGCCTGTCTTGCAGTAGACAGGCAGCAACAGGCAGCCACTGGGGTGGGGGCAGGGCCAGCTGTAGAGAACTGAAGGCCCAGATCCAGAGCTGCTGGTGTAGTCAGGTCACATCTAGCAGATGGGTCCAAAGTCTTGTGACCATTTGCCATTGCTTGACCACACTGAATGCTTCCTGAGGAGTTGGGCTGGAAATGAAGTCCATTCTAGCTTCATGAGTGTTGGAGTCTTTCTCACCACCCAGTACCACCCAGGTTCTCTCTGTACACTCACCTGTATGGGCCCACTGGGAAATGATGTGGGTGAAAGGCTTTAACAAGTTATCCAGTGGTATCGGCTGCATGTCTTTGATGTACATCCAGGGAGAGGAATAGGTATCCTACTACACACCCAGACCACTTCTGCTTTCTTTACTTGTACCACTTTTCAGGATGCTGTTAGCTGGGCTTCAGATAGCTGAGCAGACTTTGAACAAGGTTGGGCCCTGGTGCAGTTCTGATGTCCCTTGGTCATGTGACCTGTCCTAAGTCATTTATCTTTTTCAGGAACTCAGTTTCCTCATCTGCCTCACAGGGTTGGTGTCCAACTCAAGTGAGATAAACACTCTGCAAACAGTTGAGACACTGCACAAACACAAGAAATTGTTTCTTTACTGGATAGTCCTTCTTGCTTGCAGCAAGGCCTGGCCAGATGGCAGCATTGCAGAACATAAACTCTGGCCAACCAAGTTACACTCATCTGGGGCATGTGACTGTGACCCTGTTCCAGCCATGACCACAGTAATGACTTGGAAACCATGTTGGCCGAGGAACAGCTGGCATGGCTCAATTGTGGTCGGATTTCCTGTAATCTGCTGCTGAGGAGCACAGCTGCCCTGTCATTCCACCCCATCCCTTGTCATTATCCAGGCAGCCCTCAGAACCTCACATCTGCTGTCTTGAGGGCAGCAGTGTGACCCTGGCTTAAACATCAAGGTCAATCAGGGTGTAGCTTATCATGTGGCAGAAACACACGTAGAGGGAAAGCTCTTCCCCACTCTGTGGCTTTGTCTGTATATTTTTCTTGTTCTCCATGTCTAATTCTGTCCTTGGCTATGACCCTGTGTTGGATGTCTAGAGGTGTATCTTTCCATGGTCCTCCTCCTCTTTTCCTCCTCTGTTCCCTCTTCCTTATTCCACAGCCCAGACACTCCACCAGACAGAAGTGGAGAACCAGCAGATTAGTCAAGGGGGGGGCGGGGTTTTCTTCTCAAATACACTGGGTTTGAGCTTCCCCCAGCTCCCTCTGAAACAACTGTGCCTGGCGAGCTTGATAAGCCAACCTTTCCTAGTCTGGGTTTCCTTACCTACAGGGAGTGAACACGTTTGTAGCTACACTTCAGAACTGTTGCATACTCCAGTAAGAGAGCTATGTGGAGCAGTCCCTAATACTGTAGTCACTGAAGTAACAGGTCAGATGTTTAGTACACTGTTCCTATGACAACAGTTTTCACACCTGCACAAGGAATGACCTTGAAGTTATGATAAATTGGCAACCATTCTCATTTTCATGTTAACTGGGACATTGGTGTTGTGAAGTTTAGAAAACAAGCCCTTACTCTGGCATTTGCCACCTCCTAGTCTGGCTCCCTAGCTGCCCTGTGCCTCAACTTTAGTTTTCCCAAACCAGATCTGTTTCCTCTCCCTTGGGCATGGATAGTGCTGTCCTGGTTGGGTCTTTGGTTCTCTTCCATCTTAGCCAGCGTACTCTGCTCTTTCCTGTTCACTGGTTCCAATATTCAGTGATGCCTTCCTTGACCACTCTGATAGCTAAGTTGTTTTCTTCCTTTGGAATTGAGCACATTTCCTGGGTTCCCACTGAGCTAGGTGTGGGGCATGTGGCGAAGGCCAAGGCAAGGTCAGTTCCTCTAAGGGGTACTCCATTTAGTGTGGATGACTCAGAGAGATAATCACAGTTCCTTGTAAGCCATGCTGTCCAAAAGCACACACAGGATCAGGGGACAGTTAACTGCTCAAGTGAGTGTAAGGCATGCAGAGGGCTCTCACAGCAGATGGTGAGGGGGCCCACAGTTCCCTAGTTTCCCTGCTACCTTACTGGTTGCTCCTCCTGAGCCCCTTCCTCCAGACCTGTCAATATTGGGGATCCCTAGGGATCGGTTCTTGGAAATTCATGTATCTACATCACCTAAGCCATCTCATCCTTCCCCGTCCTAAATTCATATTGCTAATCTTGACCTCTTCTTGAGCTCTAGACTGAAATATTCCATTGCCCACTTACACTTTCTACTGGGATAGCTGGTGGACAACAAACACTTACTGGGGTCGAAATCAAACTCTTGCCTTTCCTTCTAGGGCCTTTGGTCCATCATCGTTCCTGTTCCAGCAAGTGGGCAGCATTCACATGGACCAGAAGCCACTGGTCTTAAGGATAGCTAAACTATCCTTAGCTCTTCAGACTCCTTCTTGCTATATCCAACCCACAAGCAACCCTGCAGTAGCCAACAAGAACCTTTACAATTACAAGTCTGATTAGGTTACCTTCCCTTGCTCAAACCTTCCAATGGCTTCTTCATTGTACTTAACA